ATACCCAACAACTTGTGAATGTCCTCTATCTTCGTATACTAAGCCTTGTCCTGGTGCTCTCTTGATATACCTTAGAACACGAACAACAGCATCCCAATGAGAATCACAAGGTGTCTCAAGAAACTGACTCAACACACTAACTGCGAAGGAGATATCCGGTCGTGTGATCGTGAGATAATTCAGTTTTCCAATCAATCTCCTATATCGCTCTCGGTCAGGCAATGGCTCCCCCTGTCCTGGTAGGAGTTTAACATTCGGATCCATTGGATTATCAACCGGTCTACTGTCCAGCATGCCAGTTTCTTCTAAGATATCCAAGGCATACTTCCTTTGAAAAATAACAACACCACTGCTAGATTGAGCCACTTCAATTCCAAGAAAGTATTTTAGCTTACCCAAGTCCTTAGTCTGGAACCGACTAAAGAGATACTCCTTCAACTGAAATATGCCCTCTTGATCACTTCCTGTAATAACAATGTCATCCACATATACTACAAGGTATATGCATTTCTCATTAGAATGACGATAGAAAACAGAATGATCAACTGCACTTCTTGTCATACCAAACTCACACACCACAGAACTAAACCTTCCAAACCAAGCTCGTGGAGATTGCTTTAAACCATATAAAGAACGGCGAAGTTTACATACCATACCAGACTCCCCCTGAGCAACAAACCCAGGTGGTTGCTCCATATAAACCTCCTCGTGAAGATTACCATAAAGAAAGGCATTCTTGATATCCAGCTGGTGTAAGTCCCAATGATGAATGGCTGCCAAAGACAAAAGTAAACGAACTGAAGCAATTTTAGCAACCGGGGAAAAAGTATCAGTATAATCCAAACCAAAAATCTGAGTATAGCCTTTTGCCACCAGACGAGCCTTAAGACGATCAATTGCGCCATCAGGGCCCACTTTCACCGTATAAATCCATCTACAACCAACCACAGTTTTACCAGGAGGAAGAGGAACCAACTCCCACGTGCCACTAGACTGGAGGGCCTCCATTTCTGTTAACATGGCTTGACGCCAACCTGGATCCGAGAGAGCCTCACGAGTGGATTTGGGTATAGACACAGAAGATAGGTGAGAAAGAAATGCAAAGTAAGGGGACGAGACACGGTGATAACTCAGAAAGGTATATATAGGATGGGGGTTACGAGTAGAACGTGTACCTTTTCGAACAGCAATAGGTGCCTCAGTCAGATCAGTGTCAGATTGCAGTGGAAGTGGTGGAACCGCAGCCGGAGGATCGGACAGCACTGGCAAGTCACTAGGGACCTCAGGAACTGCAGGGCGAGGACGCCGGTGATAAACCTGAAGGGGCGGGTTAAGAGGAGTCGGTTGAGCTGGAGGAACAGTGGACTGGACAAGAGGAAGTGGACCAAGATAAGGTATGGGGAGCACCTCAGAGACAGGGATCGTGTCTCCTGATGAGGACTGGAAAAATGGTGTGGACTCAATAAAGGTGACATCTGCGGATACAAAGTGACGCTTTAGTGCTGGAGAATAACACCTATAACCCTTTTGGACACGGGAATAACCCAAAAAGACACACTTGACTGCTTTAGGATCTAATTTGGATCGACCTGGAGTCATGTCATGAACAAAACAAACACACCCAAAAACACGAGGTTGAATAGGGAAAGGATCAACAGAAGGACACACAATGGAATATGGGGTGTCATTGTTAAGAGCAGAAGATGGCATGCGATTGATCAGGTAACAAGCAGTAAGGATAGCATCAGCCCAGAATTGAGAATGAACATGGGAGTGTAACAACATAGTACGGGCAATTTCTACTAGATGTCTATTCTTACGCTCAGCCACCCCATTCTGCTGAGGTGTGTAAACACATGACCTTTGATGCAATATACCACGAGATGTCATATATGACTGAAAAGGATGAGAGAGATATTCTTTAGCATTGTCACTACGCAAAACACGAATGAGTTTGCCAAATTGAGTTTGTATTTCAGCACAAAAAGTTTGAAAAATCTGAAACAATTCAGAACGATCTTTCATAAGGAAAACAGCGGCGGTTCTCGGCGACGGCGACGGCGCGTGGCGGCGCGTGCGGCGGCGGATGGCGACCGGACTCTGGGCACAGACTCGCGACGGAGCTCCGGTGAGGCCTGTGGTCTCGGTTTGGGAGAAGAACCACCAGGCAGAGGTCGGAGAGAGAAGACCAGTCGCGGCGGCAGTGAAACTCCGGTGGCGGCGGCGGCGCGGCGGCAGGGAAGAGAGGGGAAAAACTATCTAGGGTTTAGGCTCTGATACCATGTGAAAGTGTGAAGGGTTTCATCTATTTCTCAATGTAGAACTGTACAGATTACAATAATTTATACTGAAAACTAGCTATAACCTAATGGGCCCACTGTAACGGGCCTAGGGTTTCAACAGAAAAGACCCAAAAGCATGCACTGTACTTTTGAGAGGTGCCAGCAAAGATCTTCTGAATGAAGTGGAAAGAAATTTACAGGTATTTAAAAACATTTTGAACTAAGTTCCATTCTGGTCAAACTTAAATAAGCACTTTTCACTTAGTTCCTAGAGATAAGCACAAAAAAGCTTAAATGAGTTTGGTATTTCAAATAAGTATATGTTGATAAGGTCCTTGAAGTAGCTTATAGTAATAAGTTCTAATAAATTTTTCTGAATACATCAACTCTTTCTAATAAGCATATCCAAGCACACACCCAAAAAAAGAAGTATTGAGTGCTTATAGTTATAGCAGTAAAACGACTGAATAAGCTTTTATCCCAATGAGGAATAATACTTAGTTGTCATCCTTTTGTAAGAAGTGATTTCGAATTTGTACTTACATTATTGTGCAGGATGCCATGTCTGCAGACTGCAGCCAGAAACATTATCAAGCACCCAAAGCTAGTACCTGGCAGTGGTGCAGCAGAGTTGACTGTATCTGCCATGTTGAAGCAGAAGAGCTCATCTGTTGAAGGCATAGAAAAGGTAAATTATGATCCATTAATTTCATCATCATATTGAGGGAAGGAGGGGTTTGTTTTATATCTTCTCGAAATGTAGTACTTTGATGAACATCTTTATTTTTCCTGTTAAAATTGGTAGACACTCCCAAGATATAGGCCCTGTTTGGTAAATGACTGTTAGCTGATAGCTGTTAGCTGATTGTGTTAATTAGAAGGTATAACTAGTTGATAACATTAGCTGTTGTAGAAAAGTGTTTGGTAAATTAGCTGTAACTGTTTGGTATAATTTCTTTCTAAAAAAACTAATTGAAAAAGCCGTTTGGAGTAGCTTTTTGAATTTTAGCATTTTGGAGTTGCAAAAAGCTAATTAACCAAACACTTATATTGAGATTTTAACTAAATCAAACAATTAATAGTGATCAAAAAAGCCAAAATTGGCCTATAGGCCAATTTTTTACCAAACAGGGCCATAGTACTTAAATGTCAGTATTCAATTGTAAATTTGTTAACATTGAGAAAAATTAATGCACTGGGTATTCATTCTATAGTGGCCCTATGAAGCTGCTGCAATTGCTTTTGAGGCTATACCACGAACCTTGGCCCAAAACTGTGGGGTCAATGTGATTTGGACTATAATAAATTAACTACATGTGATTTAAATTTCTTGTTGCATTCTGGAAAGTAACTATGGTGTCTTTTCTGGCATGCAAATGGTGAGAATGCATGGACTGGAATAGATGGGAATACTAGTGAGATCGCTGAAATGAAAGAGCAAAAGTATGTTCTATGTTCTTTTCTTTATGCCCACTATATAGCTACTTCAAATGTTGACAAAATTCTAAGAGATATAGAGTTTTTTAATTCTTGTGACTATAGAATTTCTAAAATCTTTTATATTATTAGTTATATTGCACATCTTGTTTGCTTTATACCAAGTATAAAATTTCAGATTTGGGATTCATACGCTGCCAAAGCACAAGCTTTTAAGACTGCCATTGAAGGTGCTTGCATGCTTATGAGAATTGATGATATTGTTAGTGGTATCAAGAAAAAGCAAGCCCCCGGTGCAGGGCAGGGTCCATCAAAGCCCAAAGTTGAGGAAGAAGGAGATGCCGAGAATGATCAGTTGATTCCTGAGTAAAGTTTATGGTGGATTCAGTTCGCTTGAATCTGTTATCATCCGGCCAAAGGTACACTTTGGTCTCTACTTCACTCTGATCATTCACAGCGATACTCAACATGAGAAATTTGTTTATTTTTGATATTCCAAGTATGAGAGCATGGCATCAAATCCACATTCACTATGAACTCGGGTTAACATAGATACTTACTCTAGTCTGGGATGAACATCTTTTATGAACCCAGCTCATTATATACTTCGTATTAGAGTTACTGTAATACCTAATTTAGTCATAATTGAATTTTTGTTAAGATATTAATACAAAATTTAGTCCTCGACTATGGTAGTTTTATTCAAATTAGTCTTCGACCATAACAATTTTATCCAATTTAATTCTCAATTATAGTGATAGAAGTTGATGACCTAATTAAGCACAAAAAGTCATTTAAGATTAAATTGAAAAAACTACTATAATCGAAGACTAAATTAGGTGTAGTCAACTCCGTTATAGTAATTACTTGTGTACCTGTCAAAGAGAGCCGTCTGAAAACATAAAGACCCTGTTTGGTAAAATGGCTGTTATCTAATAGTTGTTTGCTGTTAGCTGATTGTGTTAATTAAATGGTATAAATAGTTGATAACATTAGATGATTGTAGAAAAGTGTTTGGTAAATTAGCTGTTAGCTGATAGCTGTTTGGTATAATTTCTTTTATCAAAAAGCTAATTGAAAAAGTTGCTTGGAGTAGCTTTTTGAATTTTAGCCTTTTGGAGCTAATTAACCAAACATTTCTATTGATATTTTAACTAAATCAAACAATTAATAGTGGTCAAATAAGCTAAAATTGGCCTATAGGCCAACTTTTTACCAAACAAGGCCAAAGTCACAGCCTCTAATTATTTGTAAGGGAAGAACATCCATCCAACACAAGTATAACAGTTGTGAACATGTCTGTAATTAATTCATCACAGGGAATAATTAACATAAATATGTGCAGTTACATCAATCATGTTGAATCCTCCAATTTCTGCAAATCACTCATCTATAGGCTTTTATTGTGGTCGGAACTTTGGCCACACTGCAATCATCCCAGGCCGGGCCTCATCATAACGATATCTGCAGTAAACGGTACTTCTATTTGTGTAAAGTTTGCTATGAAATTCCAAACTTAATGCATTAAAATCTACTACTGGCACCCCTATGAAGATTTAAAAACCAAACCAAAAATACAAATAACACACAAGTAGAAAGTTGGAAAAGTTTACCCATTCTCAGTGAGAAAGTTTCTAATGGCTATTGGAATTGCAGCTTCTCCCTGGCTATGATTACCTTTACCTGTGACAACATGTAATTAACACATCACCATTCATCTCTAATGAACAAATAGAATATGACCCATTACAACACATACAAGAAATATACGCTTTCAAAGAACAAAGTTCTAAATAACAAGACCCTTTTACTTCTGTAACTGTTCATTTATCAAACAGATGATTAGGCGAACAGCCCAATTCCACAAAAACACTACAACATGCCAATAGAGCATGAAATCATGCATGAACAATTCAAGATTTGTAACAATTAACATATAAAGATAAAATTCAGCCTTGATTAACCACTCTAGTCTCTGATTATGAAGATTTAAACAAATTGCATACTTGAACAAGTCATATGCATGGTAAAAAGTACGAGTCTATGACTGAAATATGTAGAATTCACAAGTATTTCCGGTCAAATCGTTCAATCTAGGATTGCAATACGAATTAGCTAGTATATCTTGTGACAAAGAAACATCCTGAGACATAAAGTACCTGTTATGACTTGGAGCATAGAGGGTCGCTGTTGCCTCTTTGTTGAACCCTCTGCTTCAATACAATTTGAATATCCAAGATATGCAGTGGATTCAAATCCAGCTTTCACTTTTACTTCTCTTGGATATACTGAATGATTGAGTGAAACCTGAGATTCAGTCTTTTTCAAGTGTTCTTGCAAGGCTTCAACTGCTTCCATTGCATGAAGACCATGTAAGTCCAGAGTCCACTCATCATTTTTACTGTTCCGGATGCTTAGAATTTCCTTTGCTGCCTTTGAATTTAGCTTGCCAGCAGCTAACCATTCTTCTTGAGCTTTCAGTGAAAAATGTTGGGCAGTCAGGTGGTCTCCCCTTAAATAGGCATCATTGGCAGCCTTAGAATGTCGAACTGCTGACCTGTTTAACAAAAAGGAGGAAATTATTTAAGAATCAATTTGAAGTACATTTCACTCCCAAGCATACACCTGGTCCAATCCATTCCCCAAGGTTCAATAGCAAGAAAAAGAAGTAACGACCAGGAAACCCTTGGTGGAAGCTGTGAGCTAAAATAAAGCAGCAAAAGGGAGAATAAAAGTTTCACCCCACATGTTCCATAAACAGAAATCAACAAATTCAATATCAAAACCAATCTATATATATATATATATATATATATATATATATATATATATATATATATATAGTTTACAAATTTTGTAGGGTAGCAAGTTGTTCTTGGTTTAAGGGGCTGCATTCCACAACACTAATCCTCTCATCCTCATTGATGAGGTGTTTCAAAGTAAAAGAGAGGTCCCAGACAATTCCAAAAAAGTGAGCACTCCTTTTTAGCAAATGCCATTAATTATATTGCAATATAATCAGCTCCCCTCCCTTAAATAGAAAAAAGTAAAAGACAAAAAAGAGAATCCAAGTTCTCATTAAATGTCTTTCCAATGTACTTATTTTCGTAGTTGACTCCCCAAATAGCATCCTATCCTAGGTAAAACAATAGCACAAGTAATAAACTTCAATCACAATAAACATGTAGATTAGGGAGTAAAATTTCAAATGGAATAAAAATTGATGAAATCAACCTCATCATCCTCATGGCATCTTTTCTTTGGATTAAGTATATATCATCTTCTTCCCAAAACTCAGGTTCAATGGGCACAAATCTGAAAATACCCAGTGATGCATTACCAGGAAGTTTATCCCCACAGGCAGAACTCGCATTGATCAAGTCTTTGTTACTGATATCCAGACATTTATTTAGGGTACGACTCAAATCTTCCACATTAATGTCCCCTTTGAATGAAGCATCTTCATTGAATTTTTCACATTTTTTGTCCTTCTCTTCCTTGGTCTTTTGAACAAAGGGAGCCAATGCTTCAGCAGTAATTAAGACCTTGTTAGTATCAGGTTTCTCAGTTTCCAAATCCTTATGCAACACATGAGTCTGGTCAGGTGAAACTATTGCTTCCAATTGCATTATAGCCTGGTCAAAGTCATAATTCACCCCAGCCATAACATCTTTGATCAAGTCTTCATCTGCCCATGAGTGAAGCTCCTTAATTTTTTGATACAAATCAACATTACCTCCCTTCTTGAAAACATCACTGCCCTGTCTGGAATTGAAATTTCCAACACTTAATTGCTTAGAGTTTGAACCATTACTTTGCTCCAAGGAAGCAAAATTTGGAGAGGGTAAGAGCACAGTAGAATAAGGCTTCTCCCATAGGGTACCAGTATTCTTTGACTTATAGGAGGGGTGAGTTGAGAGAGTATTAGGGACTGTTACAGGTGGGAAAGGATCTTCATCAAGATTGGGTTCAAGGCCTTGTTGTTTCTGTCTTTCCTTTTGGGCAAATGCAGCCCAACCAGAGGTCTTAGCCCTCCCAGATGACATCCTTGTTTGCTGAGGGCTTTTTGCAGCCATCTTCAGTAGCATAGAGAAGAGTAAACCCCCTCCCTTTCAACCCCCCCACCCCCCACCACCCCCACCCCCACCCCCACTTATCTTTAACAATAGGCACCAAATCAACAAAAGATACTGCTTCCTTGGAGGACTTCAAGCACAACACAGCTGCAATTGCATTTCATTGTCCACGTAAGAACCACACACACACAAAGAGACAAACTTTTTATCAAGATCAGTGAATCTAATAATTAAACAAGCAATTCAAGGGTTCAGCACCAGCTAGAAGCAAAACCCAGAACTCAAAAAACTAGAAAAGGGAAAATATTTCAAACTTTCAGCGTAACACAACACTCATACTTTTCCAAAACTAAAAGAAAACTGTCAAATTGCAATACCTGATTCAATTTCTTGACAATCCAGAGAACAAAAAAGCTAGGAATTGAATATTAAGGAACGGTTAACCGGGGGTCTCGTATCCAAGGCGTTAATGAACCGGAGGGAATGAACAAAAGCTGATTTGGCGGCTGGTAATCGAACACGGCTGCAGCGGATGAAGATGATGAGGATGAAAAGGATGAAGAATTCCTGCAACCCATAAACCCTCCTTCTTCACTTTCTTTTCTGGGTTTGAATGAACGAATCGAATCAAGGAGAGAGAGAGGAGGAGGAGGAAGAAGAAGAAGAAGAAGAGAAGCCAGCCGGAACAGGAAAGGTAAAAGCCGGGAAGGGTTTACTGTTATATTATTTTATTGTTTTTCTCAGGCTGTGATGGGATTGGCTGACGTTTACTTCGTTGACGACCAATAGATTAATAAATCACCCAATTATATATTACGGAATACGGAGTATTATTTATTTATTTATTTATTATTGCTCTTTCAAGCTAATACCCAAAATACTTATGTTTTTTCTCGATTTAGTCATATTCAACTATTTTAACATAATTGAGTCCCAAACTTTTTATTTTGCTCAATGTATTTTCATCCCACAACAATTAAATGTGGGGGTAAACGAGTAATTGCCATATTTTCTATTTCAATCCAGCATCCCACGCAGATCACACTACCAGCTTCTCGATCATTTCGTGCAAGCTGTAATGGCAGACGTCGTAGGCAAACGTCACTTTCTCTCCCTTTGCCTGCTCTTTTCCGTCCTTTTTTAGCCTCAGTGATACGTAAAAGCGCATTGTGGTCTTCTCGTTGCATTTTTCAGGCTAGATCATGCACTCCATGTGGAGATTGAATGAACTCGTCTTGTAGTGGTAGACGAACGCTAATCCCTTCTGCAAACGAGCGTTGCACACAAAACTGTATTGGTACGGTGGAAATGAGAGGAGGGTGAATGGGTGGTCGAGGTGGGATTTGTATGTTCTTAAAAAGATTTGTTTTTTTAGTCCCAAAGTTTTAGTAAGGTTGTGTCGGACAAATGGGAGTTCTAAGTTCACAAGCAAATTCTTCAAGAGGAGAAAAACATTTGTTGTGTGAGATTCACTGAAGGAAAATGGCTCAACCACAACCCATGAACAAGTCGAGTTTCTTCTCCGCTTATAACTCGAACCAGCTTAGTGTCTCCCCTCCGGACCCGGACAAGTAGTTTGACACCGAATAATAATGCTTGGTGTGACTCGTCGTCTTTCGCTTCTTCCACTAACATTTCAGCGGCAAACAGCGGCGCTAGTTGTTAAGAACATTGTAATTTAGATTTTGATTATACCAAATAAATTAGGAAATTACATCCCCAAATTTTATTAAGGATCCCTTAGTTGTAACATCTGACTGGTTAATCTTAGGAACAAATTTTACTGACCGGAAATTAAACATACCCTATAGTAATTCAATCCAAAAAGATAACTTTAAGAAAGTCAAAGCTCTAAAATTTAAAAATTCGAAAGGTAACGGACAACTACACTCGAAAATTTCAAGACTTGAGACTAAATAGTTGAAGACCGGAAGATTTATGGCCGAAAAGTGAAAGGACCAAGTCTTACCCAAAAAGTATTAGGACCGAAAGATAAAACTAACCAAACAGTTAGTTTATACCAAATAATTTTGGATTGACTTATCTTCAATAGTCAAGTCCGAAAGGTTGTCGGAAGGTTGAGGTCGAATAGTGAACTTCGAAAAGCTCGAACAGTGAACAAAGATGATTTGAAAAGTGCTCAAACTGAAACCAGTAAAAGATGTTCGAAAAGTGATAGGTGAAGGAAAGCTCTAGTAACTGAGGAACCCAAAAAGTCACCAAAATGTTAAATACATCAAGTTCAAGCAGCGAGGATGAAATATGACTCATCTACTTATTTGCTGAGGAGCAAGAAAATGATGAAATATGTCTAATGGCCAAAGAGGACGAGGTAAACTCCACCTCAAATTCTAATTCTGATAACAGTGATAGTGATGCTGAATGTATTGATCATATGGATTCAGTGATAAAACTAATGAAGGATTTCAAGAGTGTGAAAAGAACCTATTCTAAACTTAAGGAGGAAAATGATAAATTATTGGCTGAACGTGAGTCTTTCAAGGCCATTGATGAGATGTGGTTTTAGTGGGGTATGGTTGTGTGAGAGAGTATCCTCACATCATATATTGTTCTCGGAGCATTGGCAATAGGGGTTGAGTGGTTTAGTCCTCAAGCACAATGTATAATCTCTAGTATGGAAAATATACCGTAAACAAAGAGTTAAAGGTGCATAATGAAAGCAATGAAAGAGATGATTGATAAAACAATCAAGAAAAAATGGAAGGGGAATAAGAAGTTCAACTAGGGTAGAAACCATGGTCAAATTGGGAATAAAGGAGAGATTCAATTGAATAGATGAAGGATGTCATATGAACTATGAGGAAGCTTTTTCTTAATGTCATTTCACACTCTTAGAGCACTTAAGGTGTAACACCCCGTGTTACGGTCTTCGTATCCAAACCAATCGTGGAATTTATCCCGTTAACATATGATTAAAAACCGATTTAATTATACTAAGATTCCCATTAATTAATTAGTATGGTCCACAATGAATCATGGACCCTTATCCTTAAATCAAGTCTTTAATTCTATTAGGAATAGGAAAATGGACCTTTACCATTCAGACTCTAGTTAGGACTCCTGAATCTATAAATAGGGGATTTGAGAGCATTTAGAAACCCTACCACAATTAATTCTACCACGCGAGATATTCCCCAAGGGAAACTAGCAAAGGAATTCCCCCGCGACCGAACCCAGAGGAATCCGTTAGAGGGAGATCTTAGGGAAGAACCTTAGTAGCCAAGGATATTGATTAGGGCTAAGAGGTAACCCATATCTTACAAAACCTATTTTCCTTGCTATATCTTATTTATTGGCCCATTTGATAATTATGTGTGTGATTCTGTGATTTAGTCTTGATAGAGCCATGCCTAGGGTTTATGTTGTGCTTATTTGATAATCTTGATGATCTCGATGTTGTGATTGATTATATGTGTAATCTTGTATTTTAATTATGTCTAGAGCTTGTCCCTAAGGTTTATATCGTGAATTTCGTATTATGGTGTTCTTGGTATATTTGGGTGAGTTTATGCATGATCGGGTGTTGAGTCTAGCCTAGGATTTATCTTTAGGGCTTTGTATATAGATTTCTTGATATTCTTGTGGTTTCGGATGCTCCTGAACCGTTATATGATTAATGTTAAGTCTTGGCATGTTTAGGAATCGTGTTAGAATGTATTTGGAATGATTCTTGGTTTAATTCCATTAATTGGATCCGTGGTGTTGTCATTATGTGTTGGAATGTGTCTGGACATGGTTTCGGGTTCCACGAGATATCCCGGGACTTAAAAGTTGCATGTGTATCAGTGGGGGGCACGAGTACCCGTCACCTACCCACTGCCCGAGAACACTGTTCCAGCGGGCAGTGGTCTGCCCGCCGGGCACCCGCTGGAATTGTTGGCCGCCGCCCACCCGCTGGAATCATGTAGTGCGTCGTGATGTTTTTTCCCGTTTGATGTTTCCCCGTGTCCCATTGTACCCCGTTTGTCGTGTATGAGTCTCGTTTGGTGTTTTGAATACCGTTATAGGAATTTATTTATGTGTAGTACGTGTTGTTGTTGTTATGTCTTGATTGTTATTGATTGTGTGTGTGTTGATTGATTGAATGATGATGGGTATCGTGGTCATTGCGCAATGATCGGTGTGACTGATGATGATGAGATTGTGATTGGTGAAAATGAATTGTTGGCGATTGGCACAACGAGTGCCCGGTCATTGTATTAAAGGCACAAATCCACCTTCGACTAGCTTGCCGTTGAGCATGGGTCGGGTTATAAGTGTTGCGGTGCCATGTCGGGGCTATATGCGCTGACCCCTTGGTATTGGTACTAGAGGTACGGATCATGCGAATGGCACTATGACGCTATCTTGATATGTTGGTGGTTGAAAGGTGGTTTGTCGGTGGGGGCATGTAGTTGCCCGGAGGAATAAGGGAGGCGATATAAGGGTGGCCTGGAGGTATAGGTTGGAACTGATATAAGAACGGAGGGGAGCCACAAGGTTGGAACTTGGTATAAGGTTGGAAGATGGATTGTGTGCCTTGATGATTACTTGTTAATTGATTGTCTTTGAATGCCATTGTTGTCTCTCTTTGCTATTTATGAGCTTATTTTTCTATTATGTCTTGTATCGTATTCTTAGGACGCATGCTAGTCTTTATGATTGTTCTATGGTGTCGAGTCTATTGTTATGTCTTGTGTCTTAATCTTGGATTTAAATTAGTGTCTCGTAAGTTATATCTGTATTCCGGTTTCAAAATGATTTTCTTATATCTACATATATTGTACTTAACGCATTGGAGTGGGTTACCAGCATTATTCGCTGACGGTTGGTACACCGAATGTTTTTTCAGGAACAGTTGAGTAGCTTCGGAGCGCGCTAGTCGGGTTCGTGGACTTAGTTTAGATAGTTCTAGCTTGATGAGATGGCATGCGTGCCTTGATTTGTATTTGGATATTAATTACGCTTTGCTAGCTAGTTTATCCTGTGCATCTAAGTTTTCCATCTCAGGTGTGGCATAGCACCCCGACTATCATGTTTAGTTTATGCTCTGTTTGAGAATTAATATTAGATTTGTCTTTATTCCGTAAGCTTTAAAATTTTAAAAATTTAGGGGTTTACATAAGGGTATTCTCATATACCTCATAAATGGCTAAGGGGCATTTTATCAAATATTTGGTGTCCTAGACATCCGATCCCATGCTTCCCTTTTCTCAAAGGCTAAGCATGGTTGATCAACCCCTTGAGCCTAGATTAGGTTGTTACTTCTAATCGGGACTCAATCATGTTGATCAATATCATCTCATCAAGTCTTATATCTCTATCAACCAATTCAAGATCACATTCTCCCAAAACCTTAGTCTACATTCCTATCACCCTTCAAAGAATCTACTCACACAACATAAGGAATGAAATGATAATAATAATAATAATAATAATAATAATAACAACAACAACAACAACAACAACAACAACAACAACAACAACAACAATAATAATAATAATAATAATAATAATAATAATAGCACAATCCATCATAAGCACAAGACAATAAAGCAATTTGATCAAAACACAATTCAAAAGTGCAAGAAATGTAAAGGAAAAAAAAACTTATCTATAAAGGATGAAATTCTTCAAATCTTTGATCCAAAAGTGTAATAGAATATATAACTTGAAATTGGGAAGTAGATCTAACTAGTATTAAAAGCTAAAAGTTTTTGGAATTTG